AGCTTGCCCTGACTGAGAATTACTCGGTCCAGGGGAATCCTCCATGGGGGTGATATCGAAAGGTCCATGAGGTCGGCAAACCACGGGCGCCGTGGCCAATGTGGAGCAATCAAGATTACCTCTGCACCTTTCAGGATCAACTTGCGTATGGTTGCCGGTATTAATGGCAGCGGTGGAAAGGCGTACAGGAGTTGCGCCGGCCACCGACACCTGAGAGCGTCCGTTCCCTCCGATCCCGGAGTCGGGAATCTGGAGAAGAACCTGGGGAGTTGTGTGTTCTTCAGAGTGGCAAATAGGTCCAGATGCGTCTGTCCGAACCTCCGGGAGATCTCCTCGAACAGAGCCGTATCCAGTCGCCATTCCGACTGGTCCACCTTGGCTCTGCTCAGGAAGTCTGCCTGGAGATTCGTCTCCCCTGAGATGTGTTCCACTCTGATGGAGCTCACATTGGTTTCTGCCCACCGAGCCAGAGCTGATGCCTCCTGCATTAGTTCTGCGGATCGTGTTCCTCCCTCCTTGTTGACATGGGCCTTGGCTGCTACGTTGTCTGTTAGAACGAGAACGTGTCTTCTCGTTACTAGGTGAGAGAATTGACGTAGAGCCAGGTGAATGGCCCGAAGCTCCAGCCAATTGATGCTGTGAGAAAGATCCTTCTGATCCCACTGGCCCTGCGCTATCTGGGTTCCCAGATGGGCCCCCCATCCGAATAGGCTCGCATCTGTCGTGAGCATAATCCTGTTCGGCTCCCTGAATATACTCCCCTTGAGTATCATGGGAGATATCCACCAATTCAGTGATCTCAGTACATGTTCTGGTACCAAGACCTTCCTGTTGGAGGTACTGAGGTTCCTCCTCTGGTAGGGAAGGAGGAACCACTGCAACTCCCTTGAGTGGAGTCTTGCCCATGGAACAATGCCCATGCAAGATATCATCTTTCCCAGGAGCTTCGAGAGCTGTATCAGAGGTACTCTCCTGTTTCTCTGAACTTGGTGAACTAGCTTGGAGATGCTGGTCTGACGCTCCTGGGAAAGGTATACCCTGCACTGGGACGAGTCTATCACCGCGCCTAGGTGCTGCAGTTTCCTTGAGGGGGTGAGATGGCTCTTGTCTATATTGACCGAGAATCCGTGCCCTTGTAGGATTCGGATTGTGGTCTGGAGGTCTATTTTTGCCTGCTCCTGCGAGCTGGACTGAATCAAGATGTCGTCCAGATAAAACTGTACGCGCACCGGCATCAGCCTGAGATGGGCCGCTATTACTGCTAGAATTTTGGTAAATACCCTTGGGGCTGAGGATAGACCGAAGGGTAGGGCCCTGTATTGGTAATGCCGGCCCGCGTAGGTAAATCTGAGAAATTTCCGGTATCTGGGATGGATGGGGATATGCAGGTACGCCTCCGTGAGATCTATTGAGGACAGGAGGTCGCCCTTCCTGACACTGGCTAGGATGGATTTCAAGGATTGCATCTTGAACCTCCTGTAATTCACGTAATAATTCAGGCCCTTTAGGTCCAATATTGCTCTCCACCCTCCTGATGTCTTTGGGATCACAAAGAGGATGGAATAAAATCCTCTTCCTTCCTCTCCTTTTGGTACCTTCTCTATGGCCTGAATTGACAGGTGGTGTGCGATGGCCGAGGTAACCAACCTTGCCTTGTGTGCCTTTCTGGAGATGGGATATCTGATGAACCGGTTTGGTGGGGGAGAACAAAAGTCTAAGGTCAGGCCATGCCTGATCGTCTCCAAGACCCAGACGTCGGTAGTGGTCTGCTCCCAGACTTCGATGAAATTGCCTAACCGACCCCCTATGGGAGTGTCCTGCCTGGCGTCACTTGGCGCGTTTAAAGGATCGGCCTCCCGATCCTCTAAAGGGACGTCTGGACTGGAACTGGCCTCTGGCTCCCATGTTTTGGCGATCCTGGGGACGATCCTGCCTCGAGTAGAAGGATCGTGAGCCTCTAGGCCAGTCCCAGGATTGCCCTGATCGAAAGGGCTGTCTCCAGTCCCAGGAGTTGCTTGGGCGGAAACTTTGCCTCCGGAACTCCTGACTGCTTCTTCTGTCTAATTTCTTTGATGGATGGACTAGAATTTTTCTCTTATCCCTGCTCTCGCTTACATATGGATCCAGGATGGATCCAAATAATGATGACCCACTGTACTTGGACGTCGAAAGACGCCACTTGGCCTTCAGATCTGTCTTCCAATTTTTGAGCCACAGTAGTCTACGAGAGGCCACTGTGGCCGCAATAGATCTTGCCGCATACTTGGTTGCGTGCAGTGAGGCGTCAGCCATAAATTGTGAGGCGGCCAGTATCTTGGCCAAAGTTTGGTGCGCTCTGACCTGATCTGGAGGTACAGTGGTTTGCAACTCCCGCAGCCACATGATGCAGGCCCTTGCGAAGGATGATGATGTTGCTGCCTTGGCCGCCCAAGCTGCGGCCATGTGGGAACGACGGAGGGAATGTTCAAATTTCTTGTCCTCTGGTTTCAAGGCCTCCGCCATGTTTCCTGGAATCGCAGAGGTAGAAAATAATGAGATCAGGGGACTATCTACTGCAGGGGCATCTAGCATGCCCGAAAAGGAGGGAGAAACATTGAATAGTTTCCTTTCCACGCTATTGGGAGCAGGTGGAGCTGCTAGGGAGAACCATTGTTCCTCCACCGTGGTGCAGAAAACCTCCGGACAAGGGATGTATTTGTCCTGCGGGAATTTTTTGGCAAAGAGAGGGTTTGCCTCCTTGCTTGTGGACGGATTCTCCTCTTGGACTGAGGTCAAATTGACCGTAGAGACTGCCTTTATCAGAAGTGATTTGAGAAGCGCTGGATCAAAGAGGCCAGAGCTCGTTGTCTGCTCAGGGACGGTTCCCTCATCCTCTGAAAGGGGCATGTCCGTCATGTCTAGATCTAGTGATTCTCCCTCTCCTATCTGAAAGGAAGTCTCAGAAGTGTTAGTAGCTGGAGCCTTGTTTCGTCCCTTAAGGGATGGTCGAAAGGCTACTTGTCCCTTAGAAGCCATAAACTGGGAGAAGGCATCCTGCATGAATGCCTGGCATTGGGCCGACCTTATGTCCTCCTGAGCTCCGTCATTAGATGCAGCTACAGTGGGAGTATGGTCTGGTGAAGTTGCAGGTGAAGAGGAGTGGGAGGAATCTAACTGTTCGGTTTCCCCCAGAGGAGACCACGTTCTGAGAACTTCCTGGGGAGTTGGTTCTGTAGTGGGCGCCACCAATGGGACAAGGGAAACCACGTTTGTCCCATTGGAACTGGTTTTCTGGGCCCTGGCAAATTGTCTTTCTAGAGCCAAATGTCTCCTCAAGGCCTCTCGCTCAGCTGTTTTGGATGGTCCCCTTTGGGTAAGGTGCGTTGTTTTAGCCTTCTTCTTCCCCTCCACCTCGGACTCAGAGGATCTGCGTTTTTGCTGTTGTTGTGGGGGGGCAATTGGGGGATCTTCATAGCTGAACACGAGACATTGTCTGCCATTGTGGCCAGGTACCCCGAGTAGGCAATACCTGGAGTGGGGAAAAAAACTTACGCAGATCAGTTGCAGATAATTGGGGCCTACAAGCCCTCTTCTGCACAGAAAACAATGGCCGGACAGACAGGCTCCTTGGACAGAAAGGAACCTGTAGGCCAGTGACTAAAGGCCACAGTAAGGAACAGTTATCCAGAGTTCAAATTCTCCTCACTCCTTTCCACCAAAGTCAATGGACCGGGATGTCCAGACCTAATAGAGGGGCACTTGTAGAAGTGAAAATATTTTCCCCAATATGTGGCTGGGATGACAGACCACGAGTTGTAAGAAGGTGAGTTCACTCTTTCTTCCCCTCTCTTTCCTTCTTTCTTATTTCTATATCTACTTGTTTATTTAATTAAACTCTTTTTTTTTAAAGTTATATAATCTATAAGGTAAAACTCCGGATGGTAGAACCACCTAAAATGGAGGATTGAACTCTAACAGCCAAAATGGCGTCCAACCGAAGGCCACGCCTTCCAACAGTTAAGTGACAGTGGAGCCACGAGGCTCAAAATGGCGAACTAACGGCTGAGGTAATTTTCCCAGAGGCCCAGAAAGGCGCGAATCCTGCGCTGGGCACCCCCCCCGGAACCCCGTGGGTATCCTGAAGTAACAGGGAGGGTCGCGGAGCCGACGAAGGGAAGGCCTGTGTCTTATTTATCTTGCCTCCCTGTAACGTCGTTAGATGAAAGGCGGCTCCGGCGGCCTTTCGGGCTTTGAAGTCTGCGCCCTTCAGCTGATTGGGGCAAGCGGCGCGGCGGCTCTGACGGCCGATCGGGCTCCTATCTCTTGCGCCCTTCAGCTGATTTGGGGCGAACCGGAACGCGGCGAGTGCTCCGAAGAAAATCAGCTCGATCCCCCTGGGTAGGGCCTATAGACCCTGGGGATACTCTCACCACTCCGTCGATCGATCAGGGAACGGAGATCCGTCACCAGCTCGGAGCCCCGAGCCAGTAGTTGTAGGTGGATTCTCTGCGAGTACTGGCTAATTTAGATCTTACAGAGAGGGGAAGAGTCTTATCTAAGGCTGAATTTAGTTGAATTTTTCAGGAGCAAATTTTTTTGACTGCTAACTGGCTTCGAGACTGAGTCAAAAACTGGGGTCACGCCCAAAGGAAGGGTGTGGCCAAAGTTTTTACCCAGTCTGCCGGGCAGGAAGGCTGTCATAGAACCTATCCATTGGACTCTACAGCCATCCTGCTGGAGAAAAGCGCTAACTTACTGTCAAGTTGAGGAAGTGAGTGGCCGGGAGGCCGCTGCGGCACTGAACTCCTGCGCCCGTCAGTTGGTGACCCCCGGACCCACGCCCGTCAGCTGGGAGGTCTGGCAGCGGTTCTGACCAGTGAGGAAGGCGAAGGGGAGGCGGCGGTGCGGTGTGCGAGTCCCCGCCTACCTGTGAATGTCGGGCCCACAGGGCTCAACAGGAACTAATCATTTATCAATTCCCTTAATATATTTTCAAGGTAAAATTATGAAACAAAGAATTGGTTGGGAAAGTTTTATCAAATGTTACACTATGATCCCCATATATTACATCCTGCTTTAATTTTTTTCTAAACCACAGATATTCTGGTGTTACAGGGTTTACGGTGTTCAACTAGACAGTACCAATTTAACAATTGCACTCTTTGTTTAATATAAACTGAATTATAACCATAAGATAAAGAGGCCATCTTAAGCACCTTTTCACACTAATTCTATAACTGATCCACCTTTACTAGTGATGCCCTGTGAAATTATTTCTATAGGATTAGAATTTTTATTGGGAAGCTGCAGCTTTAATAGGAATTCCATGTATATTTTGTGAAGGTTGCTGCAGAATGTACTCATCCTAAAGAGCAAAATTAAATCAAAACATTTGGCTCTAGAAAGGATGACTTTTAATATTTAAAAAAAGTTTTCAGAGGGCTTTCCTTTAACCACTGTTTTTAATCAGGGAAACCAACTATGATTTAATATTAGCAATGCTTTTCATTCTCTATTGTACAAACCTGATATACTAAGAAAACCCTCCAGACAGTGAGGTGCTTATTGCAGTTCGTTCTTTTGACTTCAGGCAGTGGGGTTTTCTGCTTCCATTTCTCATTTTGTCCCTCAGAATCCAAAGCTTATTTTTGAGTGATACTTTAAATATAATATACTAAACATGAAAATACTATTTAGAAACATTACTTTTCAGTAGATAGAGGGTTTAAGGCAATGCAAGATTTTTTCCTTCTGGTATTCCAGATTGATACAACCATTTCCCACCCCCCATAAGTTCCTAGGGATTTACAATGTACATTCAGCATAGTGGCACGCTGATGACGTACGTAGTTGGTCTTGAGTGCCCACTGAAATAATCGTAATATTTCCATATAAGGCGTGATCCACAGGAATATGGCACAGGAGTGGTTAATTAGCTTTGCTTTCATCTTACTAGTATATTCCCTAGAGATATAGCATTCTTTTCTTACTAACCATCCTTTCAGACAAATATAACCCCCTTTTTAAAAGGTGCTATAAATGGTCTTGAAAATATAAAATATAGCATCTATAGCATCTGTAATCATTGTTTTGTTGCTGTATTTCTGGATGTGATTTCTCTTCTTTGATTGAAGCTATTTGCCACAGAATAACTATTATATCCCGTAATTCTTTTTTCCTTTCCTTCTTCTTGCTGTTTGGACCATGAAGACTGGATGCTTTCTTGCTCTTTATTTTGTATTTGAGTTCTTTTCATTGGAAACATCAGCACTAAAATGCAGGCAATATGGAGGGAGAAATACCAGGAACTAATGCAAAGAGACAGAAAGCAAGAGCTTTGATCATTACATGATATTTCAACACTTCTATATCTACTTATCAGAAAACTAGCAGTACAAGGCAAACCCCCCCCCCTCTCTCTGTGTGTGTGTGTGTGTGTAGAAATTATTTGGCTATCTCAGATTGTAGTTTAAGTCCTGAAGATAATATATAGCTTATTATCCTTCTCCCCTGTCAAAACTGAGAAAGCCTAGCCATTTTCTAATGCCAGGAACACCATCATGTGGTTATAATATACAAATGGAACAGAGGGAAAATATGTGGTTCAGAGGACTGAACTTGCTCATTGGAAATCCCTTATAGAGTTTTTGAAAGTACTTATTCCTCTAGTGTTTTTTCAGTTTTTCCACAGTGTTCCATTTTATTTGTTTGTATGTTCGTTTTATTTAAAGGAAATCTGTGATTTTATGTTAATTTCCTAAATCTCAATCAGCCACCAAACATCACATAAAATTCTAGCCATTGAAATTGAAAAATGGATTACAGTATCGCTTTCTCAACTGTCGGCACGTGCAAATAGCTTCTCTTCCATTTAAAGTGGCATTTTTAAAAAAGGACAAAGGATCAGCTTACCTGTAAAATATGTAGGAGGGTTTTATAGAAAGGAGTACAAATGGCACAACTGTGTAACTTATTGCTATTTGAGTTGTGATCCATGTCATGATATCATAACATAACTTAATGGCTGGAGAATCAAGAAAATAATTTCTAATGTTCTTTCTAATCTAAATTTAAAGAGAGATACATTTAATTAGTAAGTAAACTTTTTTATAGAACAGGTAATATCTAGATAGATCTTACAAAAAGCTACATCTAAAGGCAGCTAAATAAAAAGACAACATTACCTCAGCCAAATTACTTGAGAGACACAATGTTTGTAAATTTCAATATAAACTGACCTAATAAATCCTTCCTGTACAATATGTGGATTAAATCATAACTAATCTTGAGATTGAATACTTCTCTGAAATCTGTGCTGCATTTTCAACTCAAAAAAATTACCACAATGCTTTTTAAATATGGGGTTTGAGAACTAATACTTAAAAAATAATTTCTTAAAAAAGTATGCTTAAAATATGTGTTACCATTTGTATATGGAAATTTTTTTTGTAAAATAATGCAGAAACAAAATAAAATGGACAGACCAATAAACACATATGAAAAGTAGAAACTTGTTGAAAGTATAAAAAATTTGGTTGGGAAATTGTTTGTTTATTGTTACCATCATATTTGCAAACAGTCTCTGTCATTATGCCTGTCCTGTGGAACAGCATAGCCTTCAACATTCAGTTAGTCCCAATCTTACTGGTCTATGTGTAAGATATTGAAGATCTTTTTCTGCCCTGAGGCATGAAGTCATTATTAAGGAATTAATCAGACAGATGCATGAAGAGCTTTAGGCACAAAGTGTTGTTAGTTCATTTGATATCTTTATTTAACTTGATGTTAACTGCCTAGAGTTACATCTGTGATAGCCCTATAAATTGAATATGTAAATAATCAAGTATAGGTAGTCCTCAACTTACAACAGTTCATTTAGGGACCATTCAAAGTTACAACAGCACTGAAAAAAGTGACTTATGACTGTTTTTCATACTTACGATCTTTGTAGCATCCTCATGATCATGTGATCAACATTTGGATGCTTGGCAACTGACTCATACTTATCACCGTTGCTGTGTCCCAAGGTCACGTGATGACCTTTTGCAACCTTTTGACAAGCAAAATCAATGGGGAAGCCAGATTCACTTAGTAACCGGGTCACTAACTTATCAACTGCAGTTATTCACTTAACAACTGGGGCAAGAAAGGCCATAAAATGGGGCAAAACTCATTTAACAAATGTCTCACTTAACAACAGAAATTTTGGGCTCAGTTGTGGTCATAAGTTGAGGACTACGTGTAATGCCATAAAGCAATTTAATGATTTTCAAAAGTCTTTTTTATTATAAAGTAGGGCTTCTTATTGTTTTTATAAATAACTAATCTAAAAATTTTAAAGTAAACACTAATAAGTGTTGAATTCATACAACTAATTAAAAAAAAGAGCACAACTACTTTTTAACTGGTAAATAAGGGATACGTACCGTTCGTGCTGCAAGTGTCATTAGCACCCCTGTTAAGAAAGTTAAATAATATCCAGGATATACCCCATGCCAAATGGCTGATAAGATAAAGGTTTGTATTGTTGGACTGAAAGAGGCTCGCTCATAGCATACTCTGAAAATAAAAAATATAATAATAAAGCATTTTTGCAACACTAAGGCCTGCCAAAAATAACGTATTTTAAAGAAATCCTTGAAAGTTCCAAGCTGCATTCAAGACAATCAATCCTGCCAAATTTACAAATTATTAAGAAACAGACTGAGTTATCATTCAAAGTATAAAATGGTCTTTAAGAAGTGATTTTTCCATAAAATAAAAATCATTGGAAATTTAAAGTTAACTAGACAATCCATGCCCCAATGTGTCATCTTTTCAGAAATATTTGCTCACCTAAATAGAGAAACGGAATGACCATGGGTGGGCAAAAAAGCAGTGGGAGTGGAAGCAACTACTGACTTCCTGTCAGCTTCCCCACTGAATTTCCTTGTGAGAAGCTGACAAGAAGCATCAGAAATCTTCCTTCCTTCCTTCCTTCCTTCCTTCCTTCCTTCCTTCCTTCCTTCCTTCCTTCCTTCCTTCCTTCCTTCCTTCCCCTCCCTCCAATTCCTGCATTTACTGTGCTTGTGGGAAGCTTGCAGAGAGAAAGTCTGGAGGCCATCAGAAACTTGCAAGTCCAAGGCCAAAATACTGGCAAATGGCTGCTTCTAGGTGGGGCAGGGAGTGCAGGAATGTGCAGGAGTGCGGATCAGGAATGGTATGTGGGGTGCACAAGAGTGCTGCCGGTTTGAGAAGCATGTGCAGATGTATGCCAGAGATGCTGCTTGAGACTGCTGTTTGATGCCAATTAGGGAGGGTGCTTGGGAATGCTTTATAGGTGCTGCAGAGATCTGGGAAAACATGCGGGGGGGGGGGAGCATACGGAGTGGAAACACTGTATGGGAATGCTCAAGAAGTGCAGAGCAACATCAAAACAGCAATAAACTTCCCCAAATTTCCTTCTCTCAGGAGTCATTGGTCCCAGATTTTTTATTTATATACTATATATATTTAATTTGCATCCTGTTTTTATTATTTTTACAAAACCCAGGGCAGCAAACACATCCAAGACACTTTTCTCCTCCTATTTTAGACACATTCTGTAAGATGGCCCATCCAAATTGCCTTGGTTCAGAAACTGGATCGTTTTGCCCAGTTAAAGCTCATGACAAGAGTTTTAGTAGCATATAGATATAATACTAAGAGAATAACAATCAGTAGTAAACTATATCATCACGACTAAATAATGTCCTAGAATCAGGCATGTCAAACTGCCAGCCTGCGGACTGGATGCATCATACTGAAACTGCGCCCACCCCATTGCCAGCAATGGGGAAAAAGTTGTGATACGTCGCGCAACATCACAAGACGTCGTGAGTTTGACATGCCTGTCCTAGATGATAAGGTAAGCAAAATTCAGAATTTCTCCCCATTTGTCTCTTGTCCACTGCCGAAACACCACCCCAGAAAGTCAGGTGGTCTTGACGAGCAAGATAGAATGAGATGCTGAGACTGCTGGAAGAGGAATTGCCTCAGTCAAGACCATATATTTACCCTACATTGTTAGGAAGGTTCCTTGACCATTAATAAATTCTTGGATACAAAAATTGCAGAATGCTGGAAGAGAAATAAAACATTTCTACTATGCATTTAGGGTCTAAGACCATTATTCCAATGCAGAACTTCCAAAACCAAGGAATCTGGCAAAATGTGCTTCCTGAAAATGGCATACTGTTACACCAATTCTAGCAACTTTGTGATTAGAGAACTGGGACCCAAAGGGAGCTAGATTCTGAGGGATTTCTAGAGATTCCAGCTCTGATTTATAGCCATATACCAGCCTTAGTCTTCCAGAAGCAAAGGAAAAGGACAATGGATAAGCAAACAGAATAGATTCAGGGTAAACCTTTATTATTAACACTATTATCCCCAAATCTTTTGGGATAACTTGGTAATACTGAATTATCAGCAACAGAATAATAGTTAATATTCTATATCAGCTTCTGAGAGTACTTTTGATTACAATGGGATGTACATCAACCAACCAACCAACCAACCAACCAACCAACCAACCAACCAACCAACCCAACCAACCAACCAATGTACCTTTTGAGCCAAAGTGCTGTCTGAATATTCCAGTTATCAAGAAACATCTTGAAACTCGTTGAAAACTGTAATATAAATGCAACATTGTATTATTTCAGAAAAGCAAATATAAACTCTATATCCCAATGAGATGGGCAACATAATTTACTTCAGGGTCTTTGGCAACTGCCTTAAATCGGTTTTTTAAAACAATATTCTCACAGAGTATTCTTTAGCAAGATTTACTAATACATGGGTGTCAAACTCGATCACGTCACATGACGTATCGTGATGTACCGCGACGTTTTTTGCCTCTGCAGAGCCAGGGTGGGCGTAGCCTGTGCGTGATGCATCCGGCCCATGGGCTGCCAGTTTGACACTCCTGCACTAATAGGAAAGGGATTTGGTAACAAGAATTTCAGCAACTGGACAACTTCCCATTTTAAATCAAGTTATCCCAATTTATTATGGCAGATAATTTTTTTAGTTATTTATTTCTAACAACTCTCCAGTATTCCAGGGACAATGCAGCAATAATAGAGAAATTTATCTCTATAGCTATCTACATAGCTACATTTAATATCTTTATCAGGCTATGAACCAAACATGTATTGCATTCTTTCCAATAAGAGGTCACATTCATTCACACAGTATGTTGTATACTCTATATTAGGGGTGTCAAACTCGCAATGTCACATGACATGTCACGACTTTTTTGCCATTGCTGGCAATGGGGTGGGCACGGTTTCGCTATAATGCATCCAGCCCACGGACCAGCAGTTTGATACCCCTGCTCTATATAATATAGTTTGTAATTATAGGTATTAAAGTGGTATTAATACCACTTTACAATGCCTTGGTAAGGCCACACTTGGAATACTGCATCAGTTTTGGTCACCACAATGTAAAAAAGATGTTGAGCCTCTAGAAAGAGTACAGAGAAGAGCAACCAAGATGATTAGGGGACTGGAGGCTAAAACATATAAGGAAAGGCTGCTGGAATTGGGTATGTCTAGTTTAATGAAGAGAAGGACGAGAGGGGACATGATAGCAGTGTTCCAATATCTCAGGGGCTGCCACAAAGTGGGAGTCAAGCTATTTTCCAAGGCGCCTGGAGGCAGGACAAGAAGCAATGGATGGAAACTAACCAAGGAGAGAAGCAACTTAGAACTAAGGAGAAACTTCCTGACAGAACAATTAACCAGTGGAACAACCTGCCTCCAGAAGTGGTAAATGCTCCAACACTGGAAGTTTTTAAGAAGAGACTGGATAGCCATTTGTCTGAAATGGTATAGGGTTACCTGCCTGAGTAGGGGGTTGGACTAGATCACCTCCAAGGTCCCTTCCAACTTTATCATCATCATCATCATCATTATTATGAAATCTTATCTAGTGTAGGAAGGTGAAATATACAGTTGAGAAAACAATGAATAAAGGCTAGAGAATGTGACTTGTGGTAGGACATGATCTTGACTATTACTAACTCCTGAGAAGTCTATACATTAATTTAACATCTGTCTCCAACAGATTAGAAGCAGCTTGAAACAATAATAGCAAGTGTGCACATACAGTAAAGGGAGAATTTTCTTGCTCATATTAAGTTCATTTTATTACTGTAACATATTACAACAAAGCAATACTATACATAGTATGTAAATAATATCCCCATTTGGAAAGTGATGAACTAACCTCTATATGTAGAATTCGTAGATTTGAAATCAAATCCCAGTGTGGGACTCCATTTTTATCATAGCCTCTAAAGCCAAATCCAGCTGCATTATTAATTGCCTCTGCTGCAAAAAAAGTCAGGAATTGTAGAAAGCTATAAAAATATTACATATGATAGCATTTCTTTTCACACAGAACTTTAAAAAAGTATATCTTGCAACTACTGTCGAAGCTATCACTAAACATCAAATACCAGCAAAACTCAATTTCTCACTATTTCTACAATATATAACACAAATTATTAAAAAGTACATTTCAAATTTAATGTTTTAAAAATAATACAATTGTTTATTTTCCTAAATCTAAAGCCAGATTAGAATCCACACTTATATATTTTATATCAGTGCCCCCCCCAAACATTTTGAGCACCAGGGACTGGTTCCGTGGAGAGAGGTTTTTCCGTGAACCAGAAGGGGCGTGGTTTCAAATGTTGACTGCATCCCCCACTACTTATTTGCATGCCGCAGTGTCAGTTCACGGACCGGGGTTTGGAACCCCTGTTTTATAGGCTTCTCAGTACAATATGGATGTTGGCAATATTTCATATTAAAAGTAAATTGTAAAACTATTAAAAATTCTTTTCCTAGAAGTTACGATAATTGAAAGTGTTAAATCATATGATTCATATGACCACTGGATTTTTAAAAAGAGAAAATACCCTTTAAATAAATAATCACCAATGTTTACCCAATAATAGGGTAGCATAGTTTTTTGTTTCTTTCTATGTTTTACTACCCTAAGTACAAATACAACAGGTCTCATTCAACTATGGTAGTTATTTAGAATGCCTGCTATGATGCTTCTGAGTCCTAATGGCCCTACTGCAAATATATATAATTATATTAAAAAATATATTTATTAAAATTGATTTGAAATTTAAATTAATTGTTAAATAATTAAAAATAATAAAAGTTAATCCTCTTTTTAATATATATATATATAATCCAGCAGCTCTTTTATTTCAAGAATTATACCGAAAATCTATTGCCATTTTCCAAAATTATGAGCACAACATTGATTTAAAGATAATAAGGGGGGGATCAGATTAAGATACAGATAGCTGAGGACAGCAGCAAGATCCACCAGTGTTGAACTTAAATATGATCTATTATAGCCTTTGACTCATTTGCCATTCCACAAAGTGGTTTAAAAATGGATTTCAAAGTCAGCTATAAAGAATTTCCTGCAGTCTATTTAAATGCTATAAATTAAGATTATCAAAACAACTTAAGTAAACATTTTTGGATTAAATTTAAACAAAACAAATACAACTTTTAATATTTCATTAACAATTAATTATTGGGTTACACCGAGATTAAAATGGAAATCATCATTTCCATCAAAGGTATCCAAGCAATCAACATAAAGAATGAATGGTATCATGAGCAATCTTTCCCTAAGATATTCTGCTTAGCTACCACACTATCACAAATCATACTTGTATGTTTAAATCTGAGCTCAAAACACCAATAAAACACTTTATTCTCCATTAAAAAAACTAATGCTTCTACAGTGTAAGAATTCCTTTGAATATAGTTCTTCCTTGCCCCACAAGGGGGCAAACTATTAAACTAATTCTTTCAGCATTCTGTTATAAAACTTTAAAAGGAACACTCCCAAACTTCTTACCCAAAGTCCATGCAAAATAATACTTCGGCCTGGCAGCCATTAGTGACAGGTATAGGTAGATAATCTTTGTAGGAAATGATGCGGTTGCTCTGAATTGGTCATCAATGTTGTATTCTACAGGGAAAGTTTTGCTAACAGTCATATGAAATAATAAGGATAGTCCACACACTACAAGTTTCTGCCCCACGGCTATCTGAAACATGCAAGATATAAGACATTGTGAGCATCCTTTATACAGAAATCTTTCAAAAATATTTATTTATAACTGATTTAACATATGAAGTGTATTGCTCTTGCATGATTAAAATAAAATAGACTTTCAGGGGTGGGTAATGATGGCCCTTTTATGACATGTGGACTTCAACTCCACGCTGGCTCAGGAAGTCTGGCAGTTGAAGTCCACAAGTCATAAAAGGGGCCATAGTTCCCCACCTCTGCTTTAAACCCTACCTTTCCAATATCAAATTAAGACAGGGAGGGTGAACTAATTGGCTAAAAAGGAAAAAAAAAAATTTACTGACTTGCAAGAGTGTCAAAGGAAAGAGAACAGGAGAAACAGGGCCTAATCCTTTGGAAGACATGGCACTCAACTGTGTGCTAATAGAAATAATATAGCTTCCTTAGCTCTCTTCTAGATAAGCACATATTTAAAAACCTGGCACCAAGGAAGTTGGAAATAAATATAATCTTTAGCATCATAATTGCCATGATTAATGAGGAGGTTGTTTGCTTTGGGATTTTTTTAAATTATTATTATTTCTAGTCTTAACGCAGGAGTCTGTTTTTAGAGGCCATTTTGGATTTCTTGTACATATTAGGGATGCATAAAACTGACCTATTAGGGAATGGGGCATTCTGTTGTTGAAATTGATTAGTTTTGCATATTCCTTAATCATATCATAAAACATAAAGCTGCATAACATGCAACCAGAGATTATATTCTTCAACCTTTTACAAGACTACCTTATACCTTTAAAAAAAAAAAGTTCTGAGCTATGCATATGATACAGAAAATAATTTATAGTCCATTATATATCAGCAATAGGTAATCATTTTAACCCATTTAATTTGGAATTATGTGACCATATATTAGCATTCAATCCATATAACCACAGGATAAAATTTAAAAATCAAGTATGGCCTATAGATATATCAATCAACATGATGTGCAATTGTTTGGTAAATATAATAGTGCTTTAAAAATATTTCTTGACAACTGAATGTAAGTATGCTAAAAGTATAACTTTAACTCTTAAAGCTTTCTGGAATTTTATTAGCATCCTGACACTGGTTCTTTATTGTTATTATTTTTTACTCTTGCTACACTAGTTAATTTTGTTATTGTTGATATTTCTGCATGTCTATGTAGGTTGTGATTTGGTTAATTACTATATACGGTTTTATCTCCTTGTCCTGTGCAAACAGCATGATGCAAATTTATGCATATCTTATCAAAAATAAATCTCAATTGCTTAGTCTGATTTAATGCTAAATACTGTATGTACACATAAAGTTGCAATCTCAATATGTTTAATTAGCAGCTTGCAATACGCTCTCAGATTCTATGTATTTGAAATATATTAAGAGAAGGTTATGCAGCTTGGCTATATAACTGCAAAGAAAGCAATTTAAGAAAGAAACAAAAAACAACAAATCCCAACAGGGAGATAAAAACAAAACCTGAAAATGATATTTATTGAAATGCTGAGAATCCTTAGTAGGCAACCCCTGCCTTAGTCTAAGAAGCCAAATAAATTTCAGCAGAGAATCTTTTTCAGAGGCAACAGAATAAGACATACTTTGGAAAGAAAACCTCACTTCTCTGCCTCTGAAAAAAATTCTATCAAAATGCATTAGACTTTTTAAAGTAGTATAAAGAAATTGTTTTATGACAAGGCTCAGGTTTTGCTTTTCTCTCTCACTTTCTTAAAAATCAATCCGCAGATGTCCTTCTCATTTGTACATTTGCTTCTTTCAAAATTTCACACAATCATAAACTTTACTATAACATGTAAGACTAATTATAAGAAGACAATAAAATCATAAAGGCCATGCATTAATATATCATTTATATATATTTATTAGTCACAAAGGGAAATGAAATAGTATTTTAGAATTTTAATACATTTAAGTTAAATAGGATATCAAATTAGCTCTGCATTTAAATTCCATGTTATTAAATTGTTATTTGCCTTCACCCACTCACTATTTAAACTGTAAGTATTGTATGTGTCAAAACTAGGGGATATTGATAAAAACATACTCTATTTTGTTAGTAAGGCTTTTTATTTCTAGGTCTGAAGTATTAAGAATTGCAGTGTTTAAGCAGAAACAATTATAAAATATGCTGTTCCATTTTTACTGGTAAATTCAACAAAGATAATAAAAGGGCCAACTGCAAATATATGAAACTATGACATAACTGAAAGGATTTATAAATAGGTAATAAAATTCAACATTATGCATAGAAAGAAAATTTTAAGAAAAGAACAAAATTTTATTTGGGGGTTAAGAAATCTATTTTGAACAGAAGCTATTTTATCAGAGAGATGATTCAAATTAATAATTGACCCCAGAGGATACTTCAGTTAATTTATGAGAAGTCAAGATTGTGAGCCTTAATTTATAAAACAGTATTCATGGCAACAAAAATGCAAGAAGGTAATTTAGGTAAACAAGCAAGGTTCATTTAGAAGATAAGTTTTATTAGCAAGCTATATAGAATGCATATTTTGTTAATGTTTGTTTTGATATGTTTAACAAAGCAAAGCAGTTCTGTAATTTCTCTACTGTAATTTCTGCTGACTTAACATCACCCTCCCCTCAGATTCTAAATATACATTCCACTTAAAGAAGTTTTGCCTCTATATATCCAATATATTTTCTTCAATTAAAATATTGGATCAGCAAACAACTACAAGTAATAATTATAGCAATATAGTAAGCTAATAGATGCCCATATACAGTATATAACACACATACAAGAAATAATTTTTCAGATTACAGTATTGAATCATTATGTTAATCCATTTGTTAGAAATTTTAAATTAGTTATAAAAATGTATCATTATATTTAGTATGCTGTATCATATCATACATTAAAAATATACCCGTCTGCTCTAAAAAGATATTTGCTTTAGGTGAGTAATCTCATAGAACAATAAAAGATTGTCTACATTGTTTTAATTTAAGAACAATAGTTCATAGAAAAACTCTACTTATTAAGCTCTACTTATTAAAGCTTACTTTTGTAACTCTAACTGGTCTTCCCATGAGAAACCCTAGAGCTGATATCCACGTATCTTTTCATTCACTGAATTTACATTCTGCTTCAGAAAAGAGAGCTCTAGATAGACTTTCCATCTTACCCTTTTAAAATATGGAAGTAGTTTACCTTCTGGTAGAATTAATATGTCCAATTTTCTCATTTTGGTTAGGATGCTGTAGGTTCCCAACCAAGAGATGGGTTTTTTTTAATGGTGGTCCTCATATTGTGAAATGAGCTCCCTCTGGGGGTAAGACTTGGATCATGAGTAAAAACTACAGATGGCACAAAACATGCAGTCATAATTCTGATTAGATACTCCTGACATGTGAGAATAACTCATATCTTTATAGTGCTGCATTGGCTACTAGATTTCCAGATCCAGTCAAAAGTGCTGGTTATTCAAGTCCTTTAAGTCAGGGCGTTGGGTTGTATTTACCAGACTGGCTGTCCAGTCTGGTTATTTACAGAGGGTCTATTGCAAATCCCCTCTGTGAGGCACATGAGATGCGGATTGAGCACAAACTTTCTGTAGCAGTTCCCGTTCTATGGAATACTCTTCTCCAAGAGAGACAGACGTTCCCAACACTACCAGCATTTCCCAAACAAGCCAAAAAAGCTTGTTCCAGCATCCATTTGGCTCGTCAGCTGATTTATTTATGGGCAACTGTGATCAAGTTTCTTTACTGTTTATTGATGCCATTATTTTAAGATTGTGCTGTGCGTTAAATTTTAATTTTGACTCTCTAGTACCCTACCCAGAGCCTGGAGGAAGGGGCCATTAAATATTGTAAAATAAATAAATAATATACATTTGCAGTTGGCTTGTTTTCATTTTTAATTGAACATAAGAGATCTACTCCCTTTTTCTTTTCTGTGTCAAGTACTGTTATCTTTTGATTACAAAAATGAAGGGTATACAGAGTATATTTGGCAACAGGATACAAGAAACCTGTTTTTAGTCCCTGCTGAACTCATCCATAAGGTCCTGGGCAAGTAGTTATTTCATTTTCTTTGTAAATAAGATGAATAATAGTGATGAACACAATAACGAACGTATCAAATATCTTATTTCTAATATGCCATTATTTCAACTAAGCATGTCAATATTCAGTAATAAACTATTTATTTGGAAGGGTTTTTTTTTGTCTAGTTTAATTTTGAAAGTAAATTCTTGACTATGCTAAGAACTAAAATATTGCCGAGTTCTAATTCAAGAACTTCCACTTAAGTTGTTGGCTCCTATCATAGTCTAAATAAATGAAGTAATAACATTATTCATAGTACGTAAAATCAATGTAATGCACTCTCCAAATATTTTGAAAATTCTCCTAATTCATTTTCCTAGTTTGGAATTATAGGGATTGTAAGTTCAATACAGCTGGAGGGCACCAAGTTGGGGAAAACTATTGTACTATGTGGTATCTGCATTACAGTATTTCTTCTTCTAGAAATTAATTAAGTGATGTGTTTACATCAGGTGCCTAAAATTTTGCATCTCACTGAAATCAGCAGTAATATGCTAACTAAGCCCCAGCTCGCTGGACTTTAACTCAAGCTTTTAATGACTGAATTAATTAAATAATGTTTTAATTAAACCATTTCAATGCTTGGTTGCCTCCTCAGAAAATGCCATTAGTTCAGTAAAATCTTCCAAGTGCAATAAAGATTGTTGTGCTTGGATTCGTTAAATACTGATGATTAAACTGCAAGGATTCAAGAGCCAAAAATATTTCTAAGAAGCCAGAAGCAAAAGGGATTTGTTCCATAGGAACACAGGAATATAAGAATAGCTGAAAGCTGTAAGAAGAAGAAACTTACGAAGATAGACAATAATTTCAGACAGTTGACACCACTTTGAGCACCAACAAATGATAGCTTGTAAAAAGGTATAATAGGAGTGAGATATTAAATAAATCACTTTAAAATGTTGGCTAGGTTCAGTTAACATGCAATTAGCAAATAGACAGTGTTATTTTAAACTTGTATCATGCACCTAACAAAAGGAAAAGGGGCATTTGTTAATTTTATGTTACAGAAATGAAATTCAAACAAAAAAAAAGGAAGCTTATTGGATTAGGCAGAACACCGTTTTTTCAACTAGAGCTTCACCTTTGCTGATCCCCATCGTGCAAGAAATTTAAACTTAATCTAAAAATTTCTCACTGTATTCTTTGTTTTTTAAACCAGTATGAGAATCCAGCAAAAAAAATACCCCACCCTACTTTAAACAAGCATTTCAGCAATACAAGGCAGAAGTGAAACATTTACTGTATATAACCATATAAAACTGCAAGTTGCAAAGAGAAAAGTGTGGAAAATCAAGAGCTGCACCATTCTAAGTGTTTCCCCAAAGCACATAATACGCTATAAAAGACAGCCAGGTTTCTCTTAATACCATATGGGGAATATGTGACATGTCAAGAGCACACGCGGTTTTGTTTAATGTCAGAAAGCTAATGCGGCATAAACAACAAAATATGTTAAGCAGATAAGCAGTACAATGGAAAAAAAAACTTACCTGTCCTGAGTAATTAAATCACATTTTGAAGTAGTGTTATTTATAGATCTTCACTGATAGATGCGCTTATTTATACATCAGAATTTTGTAGTAAGTCTTTATAGAGAGGAAGTAAACATCACCCATTTATCAATATTTGTTTATATTAGGAATAAAAAACAATTTTTATATTTGAAGTTGAACCTGGGAATGATGTTCTAACGTTCCTATGTTTTTTGGCTTCTGTGAGTTGAAACTGGTATTTGTCAATAAGTAAAACCAACATACCATCATCTCCATTTTTAATATAAGTAAGAAAGCAGCCAACCAATTTGTTTGATATTGGCTGTAGAAAAGATGAAAATAGAATCTTAATGCCATGAAAAGATAGTGAACAATCATATGTGGATACTCTGGTTCACAGTAGAGTATAGTGACACTTTGTGACTCAACATCCATGGAATGCATTAGTAACAGTTTGGAAAATTATTCTTGTTGTTTAAATCCTCTCTGTTGGGAAAGGTGCAAACTTTCCCAAGGAATGAAGGGAAGAGGGAAAGATATTTTTATTGCCCCAAATCAGGATCAACCAAATGAGGGAGGAATTGTAAGTCAAAAAAAGAAGCAATTAAAAATTGTTTTATCAGAAAAATTATTTGAATGTATAAAGAAAAATAGAACCCTATGAAATCAAAATGAAAATCCCATCTAAACTTTAACAAAACAACTTAAAATAACATGCAGAAAAATAGCATCCAAAACATTTTGGCTTTTATTATTTTATCAATTATTATTTTGCATCCATATCTTAAATTCTATCAGCCACTCTATTCCATAAGTGCTTATGAAATGGGTGGTTGTACCAGTTAATTAAAATAAAATAAAATATAAAATAGTGCTTCAGTTCTACAACTGTAGAATATTGCAATTCTATGCATCATTTATTTGGAATAAATGCACTGATCATTTAGTCAAGAGTTATTTAATTACAAGTAAATATGATTGCATTAGAACATGTAAACTGCAATTTTTTTGGGAAAAAATAAGTTTCCTTTATCATTCAAGTCAGGTACTGAAAGATTTGTGCACAGAGTAATCAGTTACACCCATTATGCTAAAATAAACTGTTATCTTCTTCAAAACACCAATTAATTTTGATTAATATTTCATTAAGTTTTTTTTAAAAAAATATTAGTAATTGTTAAAATAAAGCATTTTCTTAAAATAGCAGAGACTGGGTTGGATTTATCATTGTAAGGGCCTGCAACACAAGATATTTTTTTTAAATATAAAAAACTGTCGCACAGTAAACTTAATGCCTTGGACACAAGTCCCAGAATTATAGCTTTTAAGACATTACAAATAATATTTATTATATATCTACATGCATGAGATTCTTGCTTAAAATGAAATGCTGCTACCATACTTTCCGGCATATAAGATGACTTTCGCAAGCGTTAAAATCGGCGCCGAAGTCAGGGGTTGTCTTATACGTCGAGTTGTCTTATACGCCGGAAATAACGGTAGTTTCCGGCGTATAAGACGACTTTCTAGGCATGCGACTCGGCACCGAAGACGGGGGTCGTCTTATACACCGGGTCGCCTTATACGCCGGAATATACGGTATATGAAACTACTTTTAATTAATTGCTTTTTACTTGAGAACATACATTTTTGTTTAACGTAATAGATATTCAGCGTTATGATTAGCTATTTGTTCTATAAAATGATTGTATACTTCAGCTTAAAGCAATGAAGCAGATGTGCATCTAATGCCTGTAACCATTGCAAACCTTACAGTGTATGAGGAAATGTTTACCAACAATTGCAGAAGGTTTAGCAGTTTATAGTTCTGAAAATTAATACAACTGACATTTATATTTATCAGCGATTATTAAACCCGTGTTTGCACATCACTATAAAACAACTTCTCCTCATCCTTGACTAAAAAAATAATGGAACGGGAATCCCTTAATATTGCCTGATATTACTAACAAAAGTATGCAGCTAACAGAAACTAAATAAGCCAGACTAGCCTTCAGAAATGGCCCAAAGTGGCTAGAAAAGAACCTGAGAGAAGAAAGAAGAAGGGGGAAAGCTGGAAAGCATACAGGTGGATTTGAGAAGAAGTTGCTCAACACCATGAGAACCTAGAAGGGGGGGGGCAGAAAGAAGGTGATGAAAGGACTCTTGTTTTATTTTTATTTTTTTTAAAAAACTATATCTAAAGAAGTGGTTGTGCTCTCATCTTGTAAGGAAGCATCCAAGGCTAAATCCAGAATCTTCTCTTTCTGAGAGAAATCCCAATGGAAGGTCTCCATAAAAGCAAAGGAGACGTAGAGCAAAGACTTCAACTAAGAAAACCAAGTCAAATTTATAAATGCTAACTGGAGAGGAGAAAGTCAGAGGAGACAAGCTTTTGATTCAAATGCAGATAGTCCTTGATTTACAACTGTAATTGAGCCTAGAATTACAGAGTTTATAAACTGTGGTCAACTGAGTCATCATAAACTGTGATCAACTGAGTCATCATGAGACTGACTCAATTTTGACACATTTCTCTGTGGTGGTCATTAAGTGAATCACAATGGACATTCTGCAAATCCATATTTCTTAAATGAACCCACTGTCTGCAGTGGGCATTTTTTACTTCCAGAAACAGGAAGTAAACAGTAGTTTCCAGCAAGAAATGTCATAAATTGTGGTCACATGATCACGGGATGTTCTAAACAGCCTTAAATGCCGGTCAGTTCCCAAGTGCTCAAAATATGATCATATGACCACAGAGGGGTTCCTTCCTTCAGAATATTGAATCCAGGTTGCTAGTACCTTTTTGGAGGGTCCATCATAACTTCAAATGATGTTTCAGATGATGGGAACAATTCAAGATATTATTCCCCCCCTCCCTCTGGGAAGCTGAAAAAGACAGCCATCTGAGCCCAGAAAAAAAAAATCAAGATCTTTAAGAAGTTCCTGGCAGATAATGCATAAGCATCCATGTGCACTTCAAATCACATTTCTGCCTTTGAATCTGAAATGTTGCCCAGCCCTCTTAATTAATAATTAAATGAAGAACAAATAAATAAGACATCTATTGTTTATATTTTATATCAGAGAGTGATTTTTAAATTAAACTCTGTAATATCTTTCAGTTCTTGTTTTAAAATTTAGTTACAGTTCAATGAGATATCGAAGATGTCTTAGAAAGACTACCAGGAAACAAAAAGTCTACAAAATTAAGGCAATGCTTATTGTATGGAAATCAAATACCAGCAAACATTAGTGAAATAAAAAAAACTTGCATTGATTTTTACTGATAATTTTGATGGCAGTACGTGGGATGATATAAACACAAGTCCCAAGTTTTCTATAGCCCACAAGATCCAAAAGTAAGTATCTATGGAGAATATTGATCTTTAGATGCTTGATTATTGAAGAGAGAACTATGCCATTTATAAAAATTATCCAGATACAGTTTCAGAGTTATGCCTATGAAAAATGCAGAATGCAAAGTAGACTTCCCACGCAAACACAACAGCACCGTTGCAATAACAATAGATCTTACATTTGGGGAGGGGTCCGTTTGTTCATATTTTATTTCTTCTTTCCCATTTGCTTCCGACTGTGTCAGTTGATATGATCTGCCTTCAATAAATGTAATATAGTCTTTATAAGAGCATAATGGGCCTGCCAGGATACCCATGAAATTACAGTTGTAACTTAAATATTCCAGTAGACTTGGCATGTGTCTGTAATTCAAAGACAAGCAACTGGTGAGATTTTATGTCTATTTTAGTAACAAGAACACTACTACAAAATAATATTAATATTGTATAATGATTGGTTATAGATGAACTGTCTAGCTGACAGTAAACTTTGTAGATAAAAAAATTGGGATTCAAAACTAGTTGATTATTGTTTATTAAGGGTCCTGTAACACTCAAAAGATCAATCTTTATGTGGCTCTCATAAAGATCGCTGAATAAAACAATCTTAATCAGTTTTAGCCAATGGCAGTTATGGTTCACCAATTTGAAGTGACAGTTTTTCCTCCTTGGATATAATAGACACAGTATGGGACGTGATTCATTAGGCAATCTGATTTCTCGTTAATGGAGAAAATCCAGGAAGTCAGACTAATTCAGTAGCATGCCACCAGAAATTTACTTCAATAAAACAGGGACATGGAAGCCAGACTCCAACAACAAAATGCAAATTGATCTTTCTTCAGTGTTAATACAGGTAGTCCTTGACTTACAACCATTGATTTAGTGACCATTTGAAGTTACAATGGCACCAGAAAAGTGATTTACAACCGGTCCTTTCTCTTTTAACTGTCAAAGCATCCCCACACTCATATAATCAAAATGGCATGTATTTACGATGCTTGCAGTGCCCCAGGGTTATGTTATCGACATTTGCAACCTTCCCAGCCTGCTCACAACAAGCAGAGTCAAGGGAAATTAGATTTGCTTAACAACCATGTGATTCCCTTAAAAACAGCAGTGATCTGCTTAACAACTGCCTTGCTTAACAACAAAAATTCTGGTCTCAATTGATGACTAATTGTAGCACACTAATAATATATTTTAGTTTGCTTTTATGCTGCTTTGTTTAGTTTTGCCTAAAGCACTTACCGTAGCTTTCTTCGAATTATTGAAAAAAGATGAAAAGCACTCAAATGCACAGAATCTAATGCCTCTAACTCCTGCAAAGCTGCTGAAAGGCTGACTGACAGATGGAATCTGAGGCAGCCGTTGACACTAAAATAGAGAAGTACTTACCTCACGGCTAAGCATTGCTGTGAGGGCGACAGTTCTTCCTCTTTTCGGAACATTCCTGTGCATGAGCAAGAAAGAAAAAGGTAACCCATTGGGTTGCTGCAAGAACCACAGTCACATTTGAGTTAGGATAGTTCTCTCTCTCTCTCTCTCTCTCTCTCTCTCTCTCTCTCTCTCTCTCTCTCTCTCTCTCTCTCTCTCTCTCTCTCTCTCTCCCTCCCTCCCTCCCTCCCTCCCTCCCTCCCTCTTTCTTTCTTTCTTTCTTTCTTTTTTTTGCAGGGCAGTCATGAAGAGAAGTAATTGCAATCTGAGGCCAAACAATAGAGCAACCGATGCTAGCAGAGATTTGAGAGGACACTTTGCTAGCATTCTAATCCCCTTTGTGCTTAAGCTAGGATGGGCATAGATTGGAACAGAGTTATGAGTCTAGATTTTCTAATCAGATTATTACATCCAGATGATTTTGAGGGTTCAGAATTTTGATTCACTATAGAGGAAAAAAGCCATTCTGTCCGTGTGCAGAAGCCACTGAATCATCAGGCTATTTTCTTCAAGGTCTAAATACTATTTAAAAGATTGCCATTATTCCTTGCTTTCATGTTCAATTCAAGCAAGCTAATCAGAACATGCCACTGCTACAGATCATAGCCAAGACTCAGTCTGAACCATGATTGCTTCCATAATCTGTTTTAAAATGACAAGCTAGGCTAAGTCAAAATATCATGCAAAAGTGCCATTTCTTGTACTTTTGGATCAGAAAGACTATGATAAATAATTAACTGAAACAAAGCAATCTCAAACTCCTAGTTTACGTTGCTGTCTCACCTCAACTAATCATATGTAATTTTAAACATGTTATAACATAAAGCATGACAGCCAGTTTGGTGTAGTGGTTAAGGCATCAAGCTAAAAACAGGAGGCTAAGTTCTACTGTCACCGTAAGCAAAGCCAGCTGGGTGATCTTGGGCCAGTCACTTTCTCTCAGCCCTAAGAAGGAGTCAATGGAAAATCATTTTGAAAAAACTTGTGAAAAAAACTGCAGGACCTGTCCAGGCAGTTTCCAAGAATCAGGCACAGTTGAACAGAAGGTGAAACAACTGCATACAATTGAAAAAGTAAACTGAGATTGATCTAAAAAAGTGAGTAGAGCCAACATATATGGCTCTGTATAATCAGATGACTGGAGCGCAATGGTTCCTATGATTAGGACGCTTGTTTGACAATTTGTAAGCCAACGTTCAAAGTCAGAGTGAGCTCCTGTCATTCACTCCAGCTGCTGCTCACCTAGCAGTTTGAAAGCATGCAAACACAAGTAGATAAATAGGTACCACTTCAGTGGGCTCATTAATGGGGACATGAAAGGAGCCTCCCGTTGGGCGAACCCCAGGCAATGGTTATCTCATTGGTTAATCCTTTCACTGCAGAAAAGCTTTGGTGCTTCCGACATGAGAGTATAGTATTAGATGACTACTAACTGCTACTATCTAATGATTGTCCAGATTTTTGCAGTAATTAATAGCTTTAAATGGCAAGAGATTACACTATTATACAGCTGTGGAAATCCGAAAAACTATTTGGATGAAATGATTCAGATTTCATGAGAGCACAGGAACTTCCTGTTAAAGATCCCCAAATTCTTAAGGTTTCTGCATAAGCTTTAAGAAATCTACTATAAGAAATCCACTTATTTAATGTTAATTGCAACTTGGAAGACTGACATTGCTGCCTCTAATATTTCAGGGAGGGAGGGAGGGAGGGAGGGAGGGAGGATGCAATCATGAGGCCTACAATGGCCTGCCAACATAATGTGAACCATGATTAATGTTATATTCTAATGCAGCCATTATCTCTGATTATTTACAAATAAAGCCAAGTAACTTTCCTGGTCTAAAAGCAATATCTTTTTAGATCTTCAGTTCTCAAAACTAAATAGCTAAGTATAGTTATTTATTTGGACTCATAGTATGTTCATAACTCTACACAATTTTTACTACCGTATATGCCGGCGTATTAGGCAACCCGGCGTATAAGACGACCCCCGTCTTTATAGTTGGGCCGCATTCCTAGAACGTCGTCTTATACGCCGGAAACTACCAGTATTTCTGGCGTATAAGACGACTCGGCGTATAAGACGACCCCCGTCTTTGGCGCCGATTTCAGTGCTCGCGGAAGTCGTCTTATACGCCGGCATTTACGGTACTTATTTTTTCCAACTTGTGGCTTACTTTTATTTTCATCTACAATGCTTTTAAATTCTATAGACATTTGAGATGTAAATTTCCCTTGAATGTTAAATCGAAAAAAAGTCGGCATTATTGATTTAATAAATTAATACAGCAATACAATTTGCCCATTTTGAAAATTAATAATTATACAGGAAAGCAAAAAACTAAATGGAAATATTTGTTTAATGAAATCATTATAAATATCAGTTTTGTTAATAAAATTCCACTGGCTTTGTAAGAAAAAATATACCATCTCTTCAACTGATTGAATATCTGGTATATGGATAGAAAATAAGGGATTTTTCAACATTGCAAGGTTAAAAGGAAAACTGGCCAGAATGCATTGTTCTACCTGCAAATTTAAAAAAAAAAAATTCTCCTCCCCAATTTGTGTTAAAAATTTAAAGAAGGAAGTCTTTTCTCACCCCCAAATCTTACCATCATGAATTTCGTACGCCAAACTTGTAATTTTCTGTGTAATTATCATCATTGGGCTGTAACAAAGATGGAGAGAGGAGAGGAAATTTAGATTTCGAATAGTTATGAGTCATTTACACTGACGGAAAATGATATATTTTCAAAAAGGTTTATAGCTGATTTGCTTGAGAAGTCACCGAGCCTGTTCAGAAAATGAACACATTTCAGCTCAATTATTCCTCCCTCCATAAAGGAAGAAGCTTCCATCCTTCCTTTGTCACAAAGCATTATTTTATTGTCAACCAAATGTCAAATGACGTTTCAAAATGGGGATATCCTGATTTGAGGACAAAATGCATCACAAATTAAAAACAGGACATTTTAAGCCCTTTCCTTCAGGCACAAAAAGGAGAGGAGAAAGAGAAGCTTGACTTTCAGACATGCTTGTTCTCATTATGTAAGCATTCAGCTACATGCATATGCACCATTCCCCACCATGTGACATGTCCCTTTGACACATGTTTTAGATTTAAAATCTAAAGATTTTGCCAAATTTTCTAATCGTATTTTTTTTTTTTCAAAAAAGCATTCCCAAAATAATAAAATGTCAAACAGGAATAATACAGTACATTAAGCAGACAGAGAGATAACAGAAAAAAATAGCACTGTCCCCTGTAAATAATGGGCCAGTAAAATTGAGCTTGATTTCAATTACACATACGTTTGCTCCATAAATATTAGAACATAAATAACCTTGAAAAATTGAAACATCAGTCCGCAGGGAGTACTTTGCCATTTCTGCATCACACAGAAGATTTTCTTTTAGACACATACATAATGGCAATACCAGAGAAAGCAATGTGATAGAAATTCAGTAGTACCTTAGAGCAGTGTTTCCCAAACTTGACAATTTTAAGGCATGTGGACTTCAACTCCCAGAATTCCACAGCCAGCGTTGCTGGCTGTGGAATTCTGGGAGTTGAAGTCCTCATGCCTTAAAATTGTCAAGTTTGGGAAACACTGCCTTAGAGAATGCTGATTCCCAATTACATAACTCAACACACATGTTTCCAATATAAACAATTTCTTCTAAAAGTAACTTTGGTGTCTTGTTCCAAGAGAATTGTAGGAAAACAGGCAAGATTTATTAGCTTTCATACACTTCCCCAGTACAAAAAAGATTAATTTGTGAACTCAAATACAAAACCAAGTTTTTAAAAGAAGGGAAGGAAGGAAAAATGAACTGCAGAAAGGAAGTCTCTCAATATTCACGATTGCACTGGATGTTTCCAGAAGCATATAAAGGTTTTTAAAGTCTCTGTTTTGCCAGATGCAATAAGGTACAGGTAGTCCTGGACTTATGATCGATCGCTTAACAAATATTTGAAGTTATGACTGACTTGAAAAAAAGTTACTTAAACTCATCCTCAGGGTTATGACTGCTACACTATCCCCCCAGTTACATCATTGCATTTTGGGTGCTTGGCAAGCAGCTCACATTTATGACCAGTTGCAGCATTCTGCACTCATGTGAGATAGTGTTTTGTGAATGTTTTGCCATTTTCTAGCAAAAATGGCAAAAAACCCACCCACTGGATCAGCTGGATTCAGACTTACAATGCAATTCATTTAATGATTACGATGACATGCTTAATGACCATCATAAAAACAGTTGTAAAATTGAGTTTGGTCATATGGTGATTCAATTTAAGACCACAAAGACTTACGACCAAAATTCTATTTTAAACTGTGGTCATAAGTCAAGAACTGCCTGTACATTTTAATCAGGACATGACACATGTGGTTTGATCAGAATTCCTCCTGTCCATCCAGCATCAGTTATCAGCTGGATCCCCTGGATGGACTTTTAGCCCATAGAGAAATTATTTTCACAAACATCCTATATCAGATATAGTTCTATTCTGAGCTATATAGTTATGAAGGAGCTAGATAGAAAATTGTGATAGGGCAGCCTTCATCATATGTGTGTGTGTGTGTGTGTGTATATACACACACACACATTTTCCCATATTCACATCCTTGAGTTATATTACCTCATAATCTTCTGTTGCAATAAGTAAACAGGTAAAGAGCTGTAAATGAACACATGCTGATTTTTAAAAATTCTGAAATTTTCAGACATCTATGAAATCTTAAGTAAATTATACTTAATTCAGACTTAACTACATCTAGCTACAGAAATAATTGCGATTACTGAAAATAGTTATTCTTACCCCGAAAAATCAGCAGAATATTGTCCATAGTCAAATATATAAACTCTAGAAATTTGGCACACAGTGAGGTATCCCAAAGCAAAAACAAAACAATATCTGGAAAAGAAAAAAAAAGTCATTGAGTTATCTCTCACACAGCCTATAGGCATTAACATAAATTTAATTTATTTTTAGGGTAAGTGTTTGAAAGAATAATATAATCTGAGACCTTGTGTCATAAGCACAGTATTTTCCCAAATGTGCTCATACTGTCAATTGGTTCACATTTCTATTCCTTTTATTTACACACACACACACACACACACACACACACACACACACACACACACACACATTAAAAATAAAAGTAAAAATATGACTCTTGGGAATATCCATACTATTAAAACAGTGATCACCAAGAGAATGATTTAAGAGAATAAAATTTAATTAATCAACCAAGCTTTCGTCAAAATACATTTGACATCGTCAGAGTTAAAAAGCAAGTATAGGGAGTAGACTTATATACCGTTATCAAGCGTCCCATTATCAAGTATTTGCTTCCCGCTCTTAGAGCGGCTCTTAGAGCGCGTCATAGGCGCGTGTCATAGGAGTTGGAGGAAGGTGATGAAGATGAGCTACCCCCTCCCCCCAATGGGATTGTTAGGCATGCAATGGTGACTCGGTCATGGCTAAATGAAAGAAGACACCCCCCTGCAGTGCATTTGACACGAGGTCTGGTAACTAAACAACAGCTACGATCAAGGCAGAAGAACCCTGAGAAAGGTGACGATCAGGAGTTGGGGGTGAAGGAAGGTGACACCCACCAACAACGGACTGAACAATGGAGCGCTCCCAATGAGATGACAGCAAAGAATGCTTTGAGCATGTGCGGGAGGAGGGTGGTTGGAACAGACAGCAGACCCCTCAGTATGGTGCATGGGAAGGAAGACAGAAAGGAGAATAATATGGGGGGGGGAGAAGAATCTGTAATGCATCCCCAAGGGATGAATGGGCAGGACCAAGGTGAATTTGTGACTCAGGGGGATACTGGAGTAAATCCAACCCCCCCCACCCTCACCCCTTAGATGCGATCGTATGCAGGGTGATAGAGGAGCTGCACATGGGGGAGGGGGGAAGACCTTAGTCCTGAATCCACTTAATCCCAAAGCTACCGATCGAGTGGTGTGTGAGGGAATGCGAGCTAGGAACAAAAGAATGTGTATTAAAGGAGACATGCTTGGGTTACATTCTAAACAGCTGGGGCCTATGACGCGCTCTAAGAGCCGGAAGCAGATACTTGATAACGGGACACTTGATAACGGTATATAAGTCTACTCCCTATACTTGCTTTTTAACCCTGACAATGTCAAATGTATTTTGACGAAAGCTTGGTTGATTAATTAAATTTTATTCTCTTAAAGCATTCTCTTGGTGATCACTGTTTTAATAGTACATATACATATACATATATATATATATTAAAATCAATAAATAGTTGATCACCAAGAGAATAAAAATATAAAAGATTTTATTTACTGAACCTAGCTTTCGTCAAGAGCTCTTGACATCATCAGGGTGTAAACGGTAGTCGTTTTCACCCTGATGATGTCAAGAGCTCTTGACGAAAGCTAGGTTCAGTAAATAAAATCTTTTATATTTTTATATTTTTATTCTCTTGGTGATCGACTATTTATTGATTTTAACATGAACATACCCAGGAGTCATATTTTTACTTGTATAGCTGATACACACACACACACACACACACACACACACACACACCCCAAAAAAAAGAATTTTGGGCTCAATTGTGGTTGTAAAGTTGAGAACTAGCTATACAAGTTAGGACTCTCTGAATCACCTCTCAATAAGACTTATGCCTTTTATGTTATTTTGTTACCATGACCAAATGACAATGACTGAATAACCACCCATTTAAGTTGTTTTAACTGTACAGAAATCAACTGACATTTCCCCTACATTTGTACATTCAGTCCATATACATCTTATTCCTCAGCATTTAGTTCTGCTGTACTTCCCCAGGGGTATTGTCAGAAATGGGAAACAGAAGCACAAATCATTTAATTAAAATGGAGGGAGCAAAAGCATCCATTTTCCTCATCTCAGTAACTAAAAGATTTCTGTTGTAACTGAGCAGGCTCCAAATTCTGATCTTCACAGCGACAAGCATCATGCCAGACAGTCAATCCATCTCCATAAGTGAGACTAATGTACAGAACTAGAGGACAAGCCTGGAGCAAGCCTGGTCAGGAATGGAGGCTGACCATCTGTTCAGCAGCCTCTGAATGAAGTGGAGTCTCCCTAAACTACTAGCGAAAATTTAAGTAAATTACGCAAAAGAACCATTGTTTGGAAAAAGCGGTTGTTTTCTGAAGAGATATACAGGTAGTCCTTGACTTACAGCAGTTCATTTAGTGACTGTTCAAAGTTACAACAGCACTGAAAAAAGTAACTTATGACCGTTTTTCACAGTTACAACCCTTTCAGCATCCCCAGGGTCATGTGATCAAAATTCAGATGCTTTATAACTGGTTCATATTTATGACCATTGTTGTGTCCCAAGATCATGTGATCATATTTTGCAACCTTCTGACAAGCAAAGTCAATAGGGTAGCCCACAGGAAGTCACAAGTCACATGACGTGACACTTAATCACTCAGAGTGATTTGCTTAACAACTAAAACCGCTGGAACTGACAAAGTGATATCAAGTTGGGCACAGTCACATGATTTTCACTTTATGGCCATGTTGATCAGTGACATAGTGGCAGTCAATAAATGAGGACTATCTATAGCTGTACAAATCTCTTGTAATTTAAATCCCATTCCCATCTCTTTAAAACCAATTTCTTTTGACCTAGAGCAGCAGGCACCATCTTGTGATCTTTGTCTTACATTTTCTGATAGGTTTTCTGATGGCTGATCCTGATCAAGGCAACACCATTTCATCTTGTTTAGATATTTTTTTATTCTCCTTTTTCCCATGCTAAATATATGCATTCATGACTTGTATTTTTTCTCTTCTTTTCTTGCAGTAAATTGGATTTTATTTCTCTCTTATGAGATTGCTGTGTATCTAAGAAAAAGGCTGGAATCCTCTAGCCACATAGCTTAAGCTACATGGCTAAGAGAATGCATTTTTTATTTGTTTCATTTTGTGAGATCTTTGTTGTAGGCCAGACAATGAAATTGACTCCAGAGGTTTGACTGGAAGTATACTTTATTGTTATAGGCTGTAGTAATAGTAACTTGAAAGATTGTTTTTTTCCTTCCCTCCCTCTTACATCCAAGGAGGTGATTTTCTCCCTAATATTTTCTTTATTTTATAGGCTTAAAGCATGTTTGTACAGATGTTGCTGAAATCATCTCTGCATAGTTTCTCCAAGATCATCCCTAGGACTCCATACATATTTTACCTTTTAATCACCAGAAAAATAATTAAGAGATGGGTGTAATTGTCCTATCTCTCACTCCATAAAACAAGGATCTTGACAGAGATAGAAAACATCCATCAGCAAAGCAAGAAGGGAAAAAGTATCTTAAATTCACAATAAGCAGAAGAGTTCCAGACAGGCACTCCTTAATTCACATAAGAAAGGAAGCAAGTATAACACAATCAGCCTTACAAGACTCTGTTATTTGAGCCAATTTCAATAAAAATAGTTTTAGCCTTCCTATGGTCTACTTCAGTGGTTCTCAACGTTTGTGTGACGGCGACCCCCATCACACAAACGTTCTGCGCATATGCGGCGCCGTGCGCATGGGGGCGCTGCCCCCATGCACGGCACGCATGTGCGGCGGCACCCCCATGTGCGGCGCACATGCTCGGCGGCGCCCCCTGAGAGGAGAAAATGGCGGATCGCCTTCTTTGGCGACCCCATAAAAATGGTCGATCGACCCCAAATGGGGTCGCGACCCGTAAGTTGAGAACCGCTGGTCTACTTGATGAAGCTAATACAGTTAGGATATGTGGAGCAGCATGGCAAGAACAACAAAGATTTTCAAAAAGTCTTCTTTAATTGTATTTATTGAAAGAAAAAACACAAGTTACAAAAAACTCAAAAACTGGAAGTTTATGTTTTAGCACGCAATTTATTGCAGAATTGGCCAGGACTATGCCTGCTTATTTCTCTTGCTAACCACATTTAACAGATGGGGAGATGGCTAACAATTTTACTGATAATGGAATAATGTTTAGGTGTTACAGGCTAATAATGTTTCCCAAACTATTATCCATTTTCTCAGGTTCTGAGAAGCCCATAACAAAGGGCAATTAATGCTTATCAAGATAAAAAAACAAAAAGGAGAATGAAGGAGAATATTTGTAGCTCAGGGTTGAAATGAGGAGTCCTTGGTGTTCTCTGAGCTTGCTTGTTTTCTTGCAGACGTTTCATTACCCTAACTAGGTAACATCATCAGTGCTAGACTGATGAAAACATAGGATTTTATTTATTGCTGTTAGATTTCCTTTTGTATTGAAAACTGTAATGTAGCTGGAAGAAGAAAAATCAAAGGATAGTTCAGCCATGATACAAGAGATTTTTCAATTGTCAGATCAGCCAGGGTCTTGAACTTCTAAACATGTATATATACATGATTTTCTTCCCACAAAAGAAGAAAACCCATAGATAAGCAAGGAAGCATAATATGGTTCTCTCTCTCTCTCTCTCTCTCTCTCTCTCTCTCTCTCTCTCTCTCTCTCTCACACACACACACACACACAGAGAGAGAGAGAGACAGAGAGAGAGAGAGAGACAGAGAGAGACAGATTTAAGATTAAATTTATATGAAATTAAGCTAAGACTATTTCAGTTAGTAAATGAGAGTAATGAGATGAGAGATGAGAGTAATAAAATAATTAATTGCCACTGAAGACAGATACATATAAGAATTAGGATGAAAGAGATTGGACTTTGGTTTGAATCTGGATAAGGTCACACAAATAATACACCACTAATGGCATCCCAATCCTCCTAAAATTTGTCTTCCTAGGAGAATTAACTCGCAAACAAATAAACAAGCAAAAACCCTGAAACAATTTCTGATGCATTTTTATCCTTCTCACAACAGCGTTGAAGGGCTTGATAAAGTAATTCC